TAATGGTGGTACCACCGAATCCTACAGGGTGAACTTGCAGTAGCTCAAAGTTACATTTTATAAACAAATAGAACAGCATTTAGCTAAAGTTTAGAAATGCAACAGTAATGCAACTTACAGGGCCCGATGATGATGCGTTCACTACTCTACCCATCAACTTTGTATCATCAAGGACTAATGCCCTGGCTGAATGGGGCTCTCTTTAATATGTGATTGACTTTGACTTTCATGAATGTGTTCATGACAAAATACTTACAGAGCCTGACCACTAACACCTCCGTGACTACCATGCTTGGACCACAACTTTCACCTTTGTCCCACTCATCCAGTAGTCTGTATGGCTCTTCTAAAACAAAGGTAGGTTAAGTCACTTGTCTGCTCAGTGTTCTCCATGTCAATTAATATTAGATTCTTATCTTAGGGACTTGTTCCTGCCCAGACCTGAGTCCATTTCCTGTCACTGTTTGTATTTACCCTGTCCTAGTCTCCTTTGTGTCCATACTTCTGGCACATAACACAAATTCCTACCTCTTGTAGCTCCTGGTCTTTCTGCATGGGTACTCTTTCCTAAGACATTTGCAAGGTTTGCTCCTTTTCTTCTGCTTTAATGTCACTTTATCAGAGAAGCCTTCTCTGTACTCTCCACACACACACACACACACACACACACACACACACACACCCTACCTTTTTTACTTTACTTAGGTTTCTTTTCTTTTTCTCTTTTTATCTGCTTCAGTTTTTTGAGACAGTGTCTTACTATATAACCCAGAGTGGCCAGGAACTTGTAATTCTCCTGCCTCATCCTCTAGAGTGCTGAGATTGTATGCATGCCCACCCAGTTCCTATTTCTTTATAGGACTCATTGCCTCCTGACACGCCTGTCACATTTCAGAAAAGCAGGGGAGTCATCTGTTTTTACTCATGCAGTATCCTTAGCTACTAAAACAAGTACCCACAATATAATGGGCTTTCATGAATGAATGAGTGCTTACACTTTATGAGTCTAAAAGTCCATAATATTACTATGTTCAGATAAAATATTTCAGCTTTGAAAAAATATTTAGTTTTTCTTTATTTTGGGTTCCTAAAGCCATTACTTTCTTTAGCTTATTTTTTAGCTGCTCAATTTATAGATTTTTTTTTAAAGGAGAAGGACAGATTACTGATGGTTTTGTAGTTACTTTAATACAATTGTAGCAAACAACTGGCATATGAATGTATTATTCTAAAAATTAGTCTTTTTTTTTTTGGTAGGACTGGGGTTTGAACTGAGGGCTTTGTGCTTACAAAGCAGGCACTTTACCACTTGAGCCACACCTCTAGTCTCGAAAAATTACTCATTTTTAAATGTCCTTTTGAACATTTGCTTTTCTAACAATCACATTAATTTATATAAATATGCAAATCCACAAAACAGCAATTCAAAAACTTTGTAAACATTGAAAATACAGCGATAGCCTATATAAATAATTAAGTAGAGGATCCCTTTGGACCTTTGGATATGAAAAAGCTCCTCAGAAGATGGGGGGTGGGCAGTGACTGAGAAGACTTCCCACTGGTGTTGCAATTGGGGCTGTGCAAGCTATCAGTGTGTCACAAGGTAGACAGCTACAAGCTGACTGTTACAGGGAAAAATTATGAAATGTACAGATGATCCACAGGAAGCTAAAATGAGGCTATGGAGGCCTGATGACGCTGTACACCTCGTCAATATCTGTTCTGTTCCTCCTTTTTTCTTGAGATTTTTGGTCTTTGTCAAGGTCATTTTTAAAAAAAAAAAATTTTAACCTAACTACACTGTTCTCATCTTTGATTCTGTCACTGTTATGGAGGCTGAAATGATTTATGTCAGCAGGTGTCTGGGGATAAAATATCTTGGTCTATACTCTGTGTCTCCAGACAAACATGTGTTCAGTGGATAGTTGACAGTAATAAGTAAATGTTTGTGAATGAATGAATGATATGAATGGTCGATAATCTGGTAGACTGAAGGACTCAGAAGTCATGAAGATTATTTGGATGATGGGTTTTGCGAGCAAGCAACGATGCAGACTCTCATTTTCTGAAGGAAAAGGGCTCCAGGGACCTTCAGAATCAAGGCGACATGAAGGAAATAGTGGAATCAGGGAAGCACCAAGATGTTAAAATGAAACCGGGGAGTGGGAAACAGTTTCTGGCTGATCATCCTGGTCAGGATAAGGCAGCTGCTGGGACTGCACCTGCCTCAGCTCAGTGAGCCCAATCTGAATACTCCAGTCCCAGAATTCCTTGAGATGGGTCCACCTGGCCAATCAGGTAAATGGAGTGGTGGTGGGAATACAGAGAAAGCATCTGCCCTGGCCTTGAGGGTTTGCCTGAAATTGCCCTCCTGCCTGGACCATGCCCATTGGTGGAGAGGTAATCTTCTGTTAGAAAATGAAACTGCCTTAAAGGATGGTAGATACCAGTATTCCCAAATGATGTAGGTGATCCAAAAGACAGCTGATCCAAAAGAGAGAAACTCTGAGGGAGCAATATATATAAATTTCATAGGCAAGTGATTTTCTTACTGAAAGCATTATTGCAAATTAACAAAAAGAGTAATAATCACTATAGATTTAGTGGACATGAATAGATTGTTATCAGTAAATAATGCAAAGAATCAATAAACATGAAAACATAATGACTGGCATTCCTGAGTATCAAAGAAAAGCTGATTGTGGGCTGGTGGAGTGGTTTAAGTCACACAGCACCTGCCTAGTGAGTAGAAAGTCCTGAGTTCAAACCCCAATACCACACCCTCCCACCAAATGCTGATTAAAGCAAGTTATGATTTGGATCATCACATTTTCAAGTTCTAAGCAAGATAATATTTAACATGGGAAAGCATTTTTTAGCATCACAAAGAGCCTTAAAAGTGTTTATAAATGTTGATCCACTTTTAGGAATCTGTCCTAAGAATTAAGAGAGCTCAACAAAATGATAGAGCCAGCGTTCATTCCAGCATAATTTGTAAACTGAGAAGAAATTTGAAAAGATCCCCAAAGTCATCCATATATAAATAATATTCTTCAACCACTAAAAATTATATTTTAAAGACAGTTTGTTAACAATTAAAACTCAACTTACAAGTATTTAGTGAGATAAAGAGAATTATGAAGTTTATATATAGTCTTGTGTTATAGTGTTGTGTTGCTGTGTATGCATATTTATGCATAGACAAAAATAAAAGGAAATATACCAAAATGCTAACAATGAATGTGTGCATAGGGATTAGAGGTGATTTTAATTAAAAAATCTTTTTCCTATGCTCTCCAAAACTTTGTATTTTTTGTATCTGAATGCAACATTACAAAAATGAATGCATATTACTTTTATACTCAGAAGAAAGGATAAAAATGTCAGAGGAATATTGAGATAGATATATAGCAAGATTTCTTAGTCATTTTTTCTTGACCTCTCTGAAGAAGAAACAATCACAAAATCTGTCAGGAAAACAGAATTGTGCTGCAGAATCAGCACTACTTCTAAAATGTGTATCTTAAATTCATCTTTGAACAGCATTTGACATTTTTGTTTTATTTCTCCACTTCAGAGAGGAAGAAATTCAGTTATTTAGTGAGGGCGCTTCACTAGTTTTATTTCTAATTATACTTAATAGACCTATTGTTGTAGGTGAGTGCCAAATGTTTTCATGGTGACTTTTAAGAAACTGGGATGCAGTTTTAAAACCTGCTGCTTCTCAACCAAAAGTTTACAATTTCTAAAGACAAGCTTGTAAGAAGAGTGGGCTTGGTTGTGTGCATAGCACTTATCAAATCATCTGTAACTAATAAAACTTGAGAAAAGGGAGGAAGGAGGGAATTCAGCCTTTCAGTAACATGCTTGTAATCTTGCCAAACTCTTCTTAGGCAATACTCTGTTTGCTCAGAGGGCCATGTGTTTAATTGTAAAAATCTGTCAGTATCATAGGATTCGAAAGACATCAATTATTTCTGTCAACAAGGAAAGAGTGACGGTTGTGTGGCTCTTCAGTCATTAGGAAAAGATGTGCTCAAGACAGAAAAATGCAGTTTAGGGAGGGCTGAACAACTATAGGTTACAGGAAAGCTCAGTTCCAGACTATAATTCCTCCCCCCCCCCATTTTGGACTGAAATCTTTTATTTTTTATTTCATGTAGTGCCATGTGTGCAGTAAGACATTATGTAACTCGGTTAGTCTTGGCTGTATAATTGCCACTAAATACTTTCAAGTGGCTGACGTTATTAGCAGTTTGGCTCACGGGGGAGGCCATTGCTCCCTTCAGCGTTGGCGGGATGCAATTTTGTGTAATGGGAGTGGAACTGGCCTATATTCAAATTTATATTCCGAAAAGGTTGCTATTCATGCCACATGACAACTGGTTTTCTTTTTTTTAAGACTATTCCAAGTGGCCTAAAAATGGCAAACTTGCTATTTGGACAGTTTCTTTGGGTGGAATGGAACTTTTCCGTTTTACTTGATTCCTTAATTTTTGCTAAGATTCCTGAATTAGTCCAGCTTTAGAGACATCCAGAAACAGATTCCTGTCTCCCCCTAAGCCGGTGACCCTAGGGTGGTTGCTTCACTCCTCCCAGCCTCAGTTTCCTTACCTGTAAATTGGAGATAACACCTACACGAGGGAGTTACAATAAGGCTTGTAGATGACATCAACAAAGCTCCTACATAAGGGTGTCACCCCAGGCAAGCCATTTCACCCTTTGGCCCGCTGTTTTCTTACTTATAAAACCGAGCCAGTCTTGGCATGCAGCTCCAATAGACGAGGCTGTGCACAAAGCCTGCGGCTTGAGCACTTGATGGCTCCGGGTACTTGGTCTGGATGACGATGCGAGCGGGCACTCGCTGGGCTGCTGCCATTGAGATTTGAAACTTTGGGAGAAAAGAGAGTAAGAAGCCGGGGCCCGGAGCGCGGCCGGGCCACCAGCCTGCGCTGCCACGCGCGGCCCCGGCGCCACCACCTCGCCCCACCCCTGCCGATCCGGGCGCAGCGGGGCGGCGAGTTCCGGGCGGCGGCGCGGCGCGCGGTCCCCTCCCGCCTCCTCCCGCGCCCCAGCTGTGCCAGCTGCGCCGGAGCCCCGAGAGTCGCCATCACCGCGCAGGAGCCAGCAGCGCCCCCGGCCTCAGGTAGGAGCTGCGCGGGGGTCGGGGCTTGCGGGGCTTCGGTGGAAGCCGAGCTTCCGTGGCCCTGGCCGTCCGCCCGTCCTTCCTCCCACCAGCCCCGCCTGGCAGCTGGCAGCAAACAGCCCAGCCTGGACCGGATCTTAGGCGCGGCGGCGGCGGCGGAGTCCCTGGCGGTCCCCGCGGCTCAGGTACCCGCCTCCCGGCCCAATTCCTGCAGAGTCCACGCTGGCAACTTCGGCACTTTTGCCGAAGGGGCGGATGGCTGCCTGAAGCGCACGCAGAAGCCAAGATCCCGCGCGTCCCCGGCAGCACCCACCCTCCTCCTCTCTCCACGCCCGCGGGGCCCCCAGTGTGTTCTGTGCCCCCAAGTCATCCCGCGCTCCCTCGGGTCGCGTGCGCTGCGGCATGAGAGGGATGGCGGTCGTGATGGCACCAACATCCCGGACCAACCAGGAAGTGCTGCATTCCGGGGCTTCGAGTCCAGCCCTCCCGGAGCACTGTCCTGGGCATGTGGCCACACAGCTGCTCGCTGCAGAGCCCAAATTGTGATGTGATGACGCGGGGGTGGGGCGAAGGGGACCGGGACCTGCCAGAGCAGGGCGTGAGTTGTTCTTCTCGTTCCAGTTCAGAATGTTTGGGATCTAGATCTCATTTCCAGGAGTGCCATTCTCCAAGGCTGCCCTAGGATTTTGTGATGCCCATCAGAACCATTTTAGAGTCAATCCAGAGTTACGGCCCCGCCTATGTTTGCTCCTAATCTCGGATTATTGCCTTCTTTGCTTCCTTCATGAAACTCTAATGCAAGTAAAATTTTAAGGGCCCCGGGGGGCGGTCCTGCGTTTGATCATCCGCCGGTTTCTCCCCAGAAGGAAGGGGGAGTTGTGTGTACTTTATCAGCCAGGCCTGCCAATTTGTCTTAGCTCACCTTTTATGTGCCTCCAAGGGCCCTGGAGACTAGGCACCCTGACACCTCTGAGGTATGTTAAGTAGGTTAGTTAAATGAAAACTTAAAGAATGAAGGGAATGCACACTTTGAGCTGCTATCAGACACCACATTTGCATACTGCCTATTTGCATAAGAATCTTTCAGCACTGGATATTTTGTGATACACATACAAGTGAATTTTGTACACAACCTTTCAGCTTGAATTTGCACGCAGCCTTTGAATGTTTGGGGAGAGACCTTTTAACTAATTGTACAAACTTCCAGTCTGGCTTCTTAAGACCAAGTACAATTAACTTTCCATATAAAAAGTGTGAGTAGTGATGGTTTTGAGGAAAATATCTTTACCGTGTTGAGGCCATGTCAGAGTATTTATACACCATGGTGATAGGTACTTACATGCCCAGTTAGGTTTTACTGATCCTCTGATAACTAGATGTGCAAATTCCTGCTCCTGACAAGTTGTCTGCCTATTCAGTTTTTTTCTTCATTTAAAATTATAGTTATAAAATTCATTTACCTTTAACTTCTACACTTCTTAAAAAATTTACACTTTTACTTTTTTGGAGGAACTAGCATTTGAGCTCAGCCTTGCGCTTGTTAGACAGGCATTCTATTAATTTTACTTTGAAAATACAACGAACTTCACCATTTTAACCATTTTAAGTGTTTGCTCAGTGTCATTAAGTACATTCATGCCATCGCACTACCACTGGTCACGCTCCTTTCCCCACACTCCCTGTCCTTCCTAGAGGTTTGAGTAACATTTTAATGATAATGAGTCTTGCTGGCTTTCCTTTTCTCGCTAAGCAAAGTCTGAGTCTCTTTTCATAGCTTTAGAGAAATGCACTTTTAAAGGGGAGGGGTGAAAAGCCAGGGCCAGGTGTGGTTTAGTAAATCTTGTGAGGGTCAGTTTGTGAACTCTTTGAATTTGTACATAGGAGCAGTGTGAGTTTAGCGATCAAGAGGTAGAAACAGGGAAGGGAGTTACTGTTAATGCTTCCTTCTCTGAGGATCTAACACAAATACAGTACTTTTGTTTCCTTTAGAAGCAGACACCTTTCTAAATTATGTTTAAACTCACATTGTCATGCATTTTTTAGTGAGTAAAGGCAATTTGGATGAAGCTAGCTGCTGGGTTTAGCAATTTCCTGTCCACCCCAGGTGCTTACTAAAGGTCCCCGCTGCAGGACCCAGCACATGAGACACAGGTCTTTAAACTTATAGTTAGGCTGAGTCACTGTGTGCAGGGGAAGGTCTATATCTCTCCCAGGCCTGGTTTTATGTTTACAATCCTTTAAGTCTTAGCACCACAATATAAAACATATCTTCCGGGGTGTGGTTAAAAGTTGTTGCAGGGTTTAAACAAAAAACAAGCAACCTCAGCTTCCCATAAGCCTGTGACATTTCTGATTAGAAAGGGGATCATATAAATTGCATTGTATGTGTCCATGGGAATGCATTACCACGTGTTGGTTTTCCTAAATTCAGAGTGCTGGGTAAAATCTGGGTCCCAGATGTTTTAGTGCTGGGTTATTAAACAGCAGTGTATGTTATGTAACTTTCACATTGTCACAGTTTTTTTTTTTTTTTAAATCTTTCTGTTAAGAAACTTTCTTAATTTTTAAATGTATTGAATAAACTTTGCAGTGACCAAGAAAGATGAATTGTTTATTTAATAAACACTTATGTGGTGCTTGCTTGTGCTAGACACTTATTCTAAGCATTTTACAATTGTGAATGTTTCATGCTTAAAACAACACCATGAAGTAAGTAATTTTATTATACCCATTTTATTGATTTATACCCATTTATTGATCACACAACTAGCACATGAGCTGTGGTTCCATTCCAGCAGCCTGATCTCAGAGTTTTTGTATTGCTGTCTGTCCCCCAAAAAACATATCCTGCGATTCTACCCCTCTAATAAATGACCTTTTCCTTGGTTTTTGCTCCCATTTTGTCCTTAGGGATAAATAATTTGATCTAATTGCAATCATGAGGAAGACGAAGTATTGCATGGTTGTGTCCAGCAGGACCTAGAAACCATCTGCTAAGAGGAGGTTGGGGCAGGGATCCTGGGAGGATCTGGGGAGACCAGGCTTTATTTAGGAGGGGCAGGAAGTATTTGCTGATAAGGAGGGTGCTAGGATCACACTGAAGCCAGTCTGCTAAATAAGGGCCCAGGTTTGTCCCAGGTGGGCAGAGCAGCCATGGACACTGTGCTGTTTTGGGCTCAGGACCCCCATTCCTCCCCAGCCCCTGAGGCTCAAGTCCCTGGGTCCCCTCAGCAGGAGGGGAGAATCTGATTTTGTTCTCAGTCATTTTTTAGCATTTTGGATCTAGAGTTGGGGAACTTTCGAAAGCCTCTGATGTAAAAAAGAGAATCAGCCAAAAGCAACATGGAAATAAAAATAATTAACTTTAGTTGGTTCTTTGGGAGCAAGGGGTGGGGAAGGGTTCTAAGGGTATGAACTTATAAACTTTATATTAAAAATGGGAAAATAAGTTTTTTGCATCCAACAGTGATTTTTTTCAAAGCAGGCTTCTACAGGCAGTACATTTGGAACAGGGAGAAGAGGAAGAAGAATGGGGAAAAGGACAGTGATGGGAAGGGAGGGGGAAACAGAAGAGGGAAGACAGTGTGGGGTGGGGGTAGGAGTGGGGGGGGAGAAGAGGTGGGCAGTGCTAACACCTTTGTAGGCAAAAAGCCTGGGACTCAATATGTTACCTAAGGGCAATGCCTGCCCAAAGTCCAAAGGGATCTCAGCGATCTCTCTTCATGTTTATCTTGACGTGATCTTAATGTTTAAACTGTTTCTCACCAACAGAACTTGGGGGCAATAAGATATAGGGGAGCACTCCCAGCAGTCTCGTCTGGTTTACACCACTTTTGTCAGGTGGATTTTATAGCTGGCCTGATAACAGAATCATTGGATTTGTAATTGTTTTGATTACTATCTGTCTTTTGGAAGAAGGCAAGGTCCTCCAGGCCACAGGTTGTGTTTTTGTCATCCTTGTGTCTCCAGTAGACAGTAGTGTACAGCTGAGTGAACAGGTCCATTTAACGGATGGAGGGAGATGGTGGGATTCATTTTATTCGATATTTCCAGGAAAGATTTTTGAGGGTGGTGTTTCACTTACCTGTTTGTTTCTTTTGTGCCATCTAACTACTGCCTGCTTAAAGATAAGTTTATAGATGCAGAGGGGACAGTCTAACATTTTGATTAGCAGCTGTACTCATTTCATTGTTCTGATGAAAGTGTCCTTAGAAATAAGGAAATTATGTAGGGAGCAAAGGGTAGGGGTTGGGACTCCATGGCTTGGAGCAGAAGACCAATTCCAGAAGTATGCAACAGCTGTGGTTTGTATGAAGACACAGAGCCAAAAGTAGAAACTTTCACCTAAATGGGCCAGGAGAAGAAAAAGGTGTATTGAAGATGAGCTTTTTATGTATTGTTTAAAAAGTTTTGCCATTATTCCCACTTTAGAATACAAATATATAAGCTAAGGTAAGGCAGGGTATGGAATTTGGGGATAAAGTAAGTGTATTTTTGGCCCTAATGTCAGGGCTGTCAAAAATTTTTTAAAAAAAGAAGAAAGGAATGTGTTAGAAATCCAGCTAGAATCCTCTGGGGGAGTCTACAAGTTTGGATATTTAAGATGGTAAAAATCGTAAAGCTAGGCACTTTTAGCAAAGGCCACAACCCTAATCCCAACCTCAAACCTGCCACTGTCTGGGCCGGAAATGCAGGTGGATGGGCTGGTGACTAGGTGAACCACATCTGTGAGCTTGTAAAGCACAGTGGGTTCCCAGGGACTCGCTTGAAGGAGCAATGAATACAGCCTTGCTCTAACAATTGATTAGCTTGGGCTCAGAAACTGAGGGCTCTCGCACAATATGACAAATAACTTAATTTTTCTATGCCTCAGTTTCCCCACCTGCAAGATGGAGATAAAATAGTACCTACTTCACTGGATTCTTGTGGAGACTGAAGGAAATAACATGTGTAAAGTGGTTAGCATAGAGCCTGGGACATCGAAATGACAAAACAAGCAT